TTATTTCCTGTTGCTCTGATTGTCTCACTAGTCCGGGGGAGGTGACACTTATTGCACATACTGGTTCTTTTCTGCATTTCCTTAACTAAAATCAAGTGCAGTCAAGACAGATGCCACTTTCGTAAAATCACAGATTCAAAACAAACGTCATCTAGCCCTTGCTCCTATGCGCCACTCAAAAGGAAGGCGAGGGAAGGAAGATCCAGGCTCCCGACTCCTGCCCACCTACAGCTAGGCCAGGATGCGAGGCTTCGCGGCATTCATTCTCACTAAACCTCTCAAGGAGGAAAGTGAGGCCATTTAGGGTGAAGCCATCGGTCACGCGGAAAGGGAAACTGCTGGTCATGAACTGGATCCATTACGAGCTTTCAATAAATGAATGAAAGCCCAGCAGCAATCATAGAGGGCCGCAGAAAGAGACTTAAGATTGGCTGACTGACCCTCTTCCATGGGAGTATTTAGAACCAGAGTCAAAACAGAGTGTGACAGTCAGCTTTCAATCACCAGAACAGAATACTCAACCCTTGTCGGTTGAGGAAGGGCAGATTTATTTTGGTTCACAGCTCGGGTGAGTTCAGTCTGTGTTCAGCTGGCTCCGAGGCACACACGGCATAGGGGAAGGGACGTGCTCGTGCTGTGGCAGCCAGGAAGCGGGGCAAGCGAGGAAGAGTGGAGGAGCAGAGCAGGGAGGAGAGGGGAGGAGAGGAGGTGCAGAGAGGAGAGGAGGTGCAGAGTAGGGAGGAGTGGAGGAGCTGAGCTGGGAGGTGCGGAGCGGGGAGGAGCGGAGGAGCGGAGTGGGGAGGGACGGGGAGGGGCAGAAGAGCAGAGCGGGGAGGGGCGGAGCGGGGAGGAGAGGAGGTGCGGAGTGGGGAGGAGCGGAGGAGCGGAGCTGGGAGGACAGGGGAGCGGGGAGGAGCGGGGAGGAGAGGAGGTGCAGAGAGGAGAGGAGGTGCAGAGTAGGGAGAAGCGGAGGAGCAGAGCAGGGAGGAGCAGAGCAGGGAGGAGCAGAGCGGGGAGGAGCAGAGAGGGGCAGAGGGGCAGAGCGGGGAGGGGCAGAGCGGGGAGGAGCACAGCGGGGAGGAGCAGAGGGGGAAGGGGCGGAGGTACAGAGCTGGGAGGAGCAGAGCCGGCAGTGGCGGAAGAGCAGAGTGCACCCTTGGGTCACACCCACGCTGCCTAGTGTCTTCTGACCAGGTCCCACCTCTGAATCTCAGATTATTGGGGGACATTTAAATCTAAACCGTAACACATTGGACACCTGCCTGTAATAGACTTTTTGTAGAAGGCTTAAATAAGAAAAAAAATTAACTTTTATTTTAAACACGGAAACAAATGGAATGCAGTGTGGCACCTGAGGCAGATGCACACAGATTACAGAGGCAAATCTGCAGGCAGAGGAGTTTTGTGCAGCCATGAGGTTGGGTTGGACGCAGCCGTGCCAGGGTCTTCCTGGGACAGCCGTACTCCCAGGCTGCAAATCCATGTCAGTGGTATGAAGTGGGAAATTCCAGAAATAATTCATCAGTTTGAAATGAATTTTATTATAATATATTGTCCTAATTTTCTGTTTTGTTGTTAGTGTTTGTTAACCTCTTATGGTACCCCACTTACAGGTTTGTAGGTAGAAAAAGAAACATAGTGTGGTGTTTGGTTCTAACCATGGTAACAAGCAGGGACTTGAAAGGAAAGCCACCGACAGGCAGGAGGAGGTCACTTCCTGACAGCCCAGGATCCCAGGAGATGGGAGTGACGGAAAAGGCTGACTTCCATGCAGAGGTCAGGAAGGGCTTCAGTGGTGAGGCGTGGGTGTCCTGTGGCTGCTGGAACAAAGTGGCTGAAATGGGAAGGAGCAAAACGACAGAAGTGTGCTTGGGCAGCTCTGGAGGCCAGATGCCCGCAAGAAGGTGTCAGCAGGGTTGGTTCCTTCTTGAGGCTCTGGTGGAGACCCTGTTCCAGGCCTCTCCCCCACTCCCGCTGAGAGCCAAAGTCGCAGATACTGCCTTGTTGCTGCGCTGCGTCAATCTGTCCGTTTAACAATCGTTCCTCTTCTGTCTCTCCACCTCCACAGTCCCTCCTCTCCGTGTCTCCATCCTGAGTCTTTCCTCCTCTTCTGTCCCCATCCTCACAGTCCTGCCTCTTCCCGGTCCTCTCCATCAGCTGTGACCTTTCTGTCACAATGCTCTGCACTGTATCTGGGTCCCGCCTTAATTCACTGTGATCGCATCTTAATTTGATCACCTCAGCAAAGATCCAATTTTCAAGTAAGATCCTACATACAGGAGAGCGTATTTTTTCATTGTATGTTTCGGGAGGACACCAGTCAACCCACTATGAGAGGAGACACTGATGACACAGGAATGACAAGAGGGAGCTTTGAGGACAGAGGGCTTCCGGCAGCAGAAGAGCCGGGGCTGGTCTCCTAACCCAGAAGGAGCTCTTCAGGCTCTCGGTGAACAGCCAGGCTCAGGCATGTGGGGAGGAGGATTTCAGCAGCCAGCAGAGATGCTAAGATGTGGGGCCTCAGGTGTGCAGCGTGGCCCTATGTGCTGGGCCCAAATGGCCAGTAGTCCTGGTACATCTAGGACCCGGAGTGTTGCGGCAAACACACTTACTTAATTGAGTCACTCACAAAGGCCGGATGCAGGGACAAGTAAATTTATTGGGGATTTGGTGGTGTATGTGTTGAGCATGACCCTGAAGTGCAGGGGGGAGAATAGTTATACAGTTCTAGTTCTGGGTCTAGGGACAGGGGTATATGATTTAGTGCAGCACTCCAAGCATGAACCTACTATTACAAATTACCATCTGCAGTGCAGTAGCTCAGTTCACAGGTATCAGTATATATAGTTAGTCAAGGTGAGAATCTTTCCAATTAACTGCTAGATTAAAAAATCTTCTGAAGATTCTCAGGATCATTGCCTTGCCCGTCTTCTACATATAACTGTATGGCTTGACTTATTCATGTTTCCTAGCTCTTCTCCTTTCCCTCTCTTGGTTAGTTAGTCCTTGAGATCCTGCTTTCCTTTTACTTGTATTATACCTTTCTATTTGTATTTCTTCTTTTTAGTTCTTATACAAGGGAGACTATACGATATTTACACATGTGTGTCTGGTTTATTTCACTTATGAGTATATGTTCAAGTGGCATCCAATTCAATATAGAGCCTTCGAGTTTATCATTCAATAGCTGAATAATACTCCATTGTGTAAAAATACCACATCTTTTTCAACCATTCCTCAGGTGATGGGCATCTTGGTTGTTTCCAAGATTTGGCTATCACAAATTGTGCTGCTATAAACATAGGCACACATATCCCTATGATATGATGATTTCAGATCCTCGGGGAAAATTCCCAGTAGAGGAATAGCTGGTGTAAAGGGGATTTCCAGACCAACTTTTCTAAGGAGTCTCCACACTGATTTCCATAATGGTTGCACCAGTCCACATTCCCACCAGCAGTGGAGAAAGGTTCCTTTTTCCCCACAGCCTCTCCAACATTTGTTGTTGGGTGATTTCTTTATGATAGCCATCCTTTCTGGGATGAGATGATATCTCAATGTTGTTTTAATTTGCATTTCGCGGATGATTTAGTGCAACTACAAAATACTACAAAGCGTGGGCTTAGCTTGTGACAAAGGAACAAAGGTGTTTGACATCTTACGTAGTGGTAAGTAGTGGTAACTACATTTACAAGTAGCAGACTTAAGGAAATTGCAACTTAAGCTTCAAAATGGCACTAGAACACAGAAGTGTTGGTTTAATTTTCTTCCCCCTGTCAAGAGGATCCTGGACGGGCGGTCCCTGCCAAGGTTCAGCCACTCTGCTGTTTCCTTCCCAGTCACCGTGTATGGACAGCTCAGCACCCGCTGTGCTCTGCTCAGCATCCTGCGCATTTCCAGTGCCTGCCCTGTACGAAGGCAATGACTTCACGGTCCCCAGGGCACCCGTTAACAGCACATCTCCCACTGTGACCCCCACTCCTAGCCTGCCTGTTCGCTCATTGCCCTCCACTTTGGGGGAGCTGGTGCCCAGCCTCTCCAGTGGTAGGAGGAGCATCAGGGTAAAGAAGCTGACAGACGTGTGGGCACTGCAGGGGTGACCGCATGTGAACCAAAGCCTACCAAGTCGTTTTATCCCTGCTCCTGCCGCAGCTGGAATGGGCAGTAGTGCCCACCTCCTTTCGCACATAAGCTGAGCCCCTCAGAGGGTCAGTCACATGACCTAGTCCCCCAGAGAGGACACTACTGCTCTGGGACCTGGACCTCTATTGTCCGGTCTGCTGAGCGCCAGTGAGCTAAATTAGGCATTGATCCATCCAACTTTTCCATGAGGCAGGTACTCCTGGCATCCATATTTTGAAGAAAATTCAAATACTGTTTGCTTATGCTGTGAGTCTCCAGATAATTTTTATGTCTTTGCCCCTTATACATGTTTCCATCGTGAACATAAAGCAGAATCCTAGAGTAAGATGCAGTGTTTGTAAGTTGGGTCCCGTGTTTCCTTTGCTGGCTTTCTTTTCATAAGAGCCTCCCTGTGTGCTGGCAGCCAGGAAGAATTCAGCCCAGCATGGAGCACAGCAGTCCACGCCTTCCGTGTGGAGCTGTGCTGGGGCAGCAGGAAGCCAAGGCAGGAGAGAGGCAGTTGATGTCTTCAGGCTGCAGTACTAAGTGCCATCATCTTAATTGCGCAGGATTTTGCAACGAGAAGGTGCTGAGTTTATCACGACTCCACAGAAATCCCAGGAAGTGAGGCTCAGTTTGTTTTGTTTTTTCTTGTTACTGGGGATTGAACTCAGGACCTTGCGCTTGCCAGGCAGGCGCTTACTCTACTGAGTTGTCACTGAGCCCAAGGCTCAGTTCTGTGCATATCTTGGAGACAGAAACTGCAGGAAGCTCACTGCACCAGAGCCCCCGCAGCTTTCAAGTTATGGGGCTGCAACTCCAGGGTCTGGACTCTGGGGATGACAGTGACTGCCCAATATGCCTCCAAGGTACAGGGCAGCACAGGGCTTCCGGACACTGGCGAGGTCTCTGGTTATTGTGTAGATAAGTGAGTGCAGTCAGTGTTTTGTACCCTTTCATAGCCATTACTTTACGTGAGCCATGTCTAATAAACCCTGAGCATGTAAATTTATCTAGTCAAGGAGGTCTCACGTGACTGGCCCATGCCGTGAAGTGGGTCTGTGCTGTATCTGCCAAAACAGAGTCTGCCTTAGGAAATGCCCGCTGGGAGAAAGCTCATGTTCCCGGGAGCTCCTGAAATGGAACTGGGCAAAATAACCTCTTGACCATTTAGGCAAGTTGTTGAGACTCTCTGTGTCCCAGGTTCCTCATCTTTAGAATGGAGATAATAGCAGTACATTTGCTTCAGAAAGTTATTGTGAAAAACAAGCAAATTAATATATATAAAGTCCTTACCAGTAGGACCCTCGCTTCTTGGTAAGGCCTGTGTGTGTTGGTGATGACTGTTACTATCACCACCAGTGCCAGCACCTCCACCATCATAATCACCGTCATCCCCATCACCGCTGTTATCACCCTCACAGTCACCACCATCACCTCCGTCATCATCACCACCTTCATCACCAACCATCATCACATCTCCATCCTCACCATCACCATGACTACCACGTTCTCCATGACAGCCACCATCACGGTCCTCACCACCACTTCTCCCACCACCAGCAGCACCCTCTTCCATGCATTTGGCCTCCAGCCACACTTTTTGGGGGAGACAATGACAGTGAGCGAGAGCCACACAACTTGTGAGCGAGGCTGGGGCCCCAGCGCTGTTCAAGAGCAAAGCAGAGGTGGGGCTGGTGCAGGGATGGCGCCTGGGCCCAGAAGGCCTCCCGCTCACTGCTGCTTGCTTCCTCCCAGGCATCGCCCTCAGCGTACTCCCCATGTACCTCAACGAGATCTCGCCCAAGGAGATCCGCGGCTCCCTGGGCCAGGTGACTGCCATCTTCATCTGCGTGGGCGTGTTCACGGGGCAGCTGCTGGGCCTGCCTGAGCTGCTGGGAAAGGTAGGGGCGGCCTCCCCCAAGCCCGCTGGCTCTCACTGTCACCGCTGGTGGGGTGGGGGTGCTTTCCAGAAAACCCATCGAGAGCCTTACGATCCCTGAGGGGTCCCTCCTTCTAGCACAAGAGCTGTTGTGAGCCATGGGCTTTGGCAGAACACAGTGAATTTCAACCTTACAGAATGTTCAAACCTAAACACAGTGACTATGTCTGCAGCTCAGAGCGCATTTGCTTCAGGTTTGTTCTGTGCTTAAAAACCTCCACAAACATAGGCGATCTGTTGTGTTCCCACCCCGAAAATTCCTGTCACCCACATCATTCTACGACTTCTTACTTTAATTTATTCTTTTTTTCCTTCCCACACAGCAGAAGATGTACCTTATTTTTAAAAAAGAATAAAAAATAGAAATAATACAGAATTTCACTAAACAAAATAATAGGAATTCAACAATGGTTGTTATATGGCATGCTGTTGTCTTCAAATTAATTGTTCAGATTACCAGATATAAGCATGTAAAATTGGTCAAAAGAATTAGAAAGAAGAGAAAAAATTATGCATTAACTGTTCCTTTCAAAAGATCAGTAGAAGTCAGCAGTACAATAATCTAAGCTACCCTGTGGATATCCATATCTATTTTCTTTTCCCCTCCTTTCCTTCTTTTGTCCTTTCCCTCATCCCAGTTGTTCTTTCCCTTTGAACAGCTTTTTCTTTCACAGTATCTGCTGCACCATTTGAAATTTATCTACTCTTTCAGTTTCTTATACTAGGGACACTTGTTTTTATTTATTCTTTTCTAAATTTTATTTATTTATTTGGTACAGAGTCTGGCTATGCATCTCAGGCTCTTAGGGACCCTTCTGTCTCAGCCTTCCAGCACTGGGATCACAGGTGTGCGCCACTGCCCCCAGCTTCAGGGCCTGCGCAGCACGCCCAGGGTTCCAGGGCCAGCACAGCACAGAGTACCAGGGATCAAACTCGGGAACTCGCCCTCTCCACCAAGCTATCTCCCCAGTCCTGTTTTCATTTGGTAGGTGTACTTTGAACATCTTTCCAGATGTTAATTGACTCCAGCCCCTTCTTTCTTCTCTCTAAATGAGAACTTACCTGTTCCTTGGCCTGGCTTGCTGCTTTGGACTCAGGATGAGCTGGGTTAGAATCCTAACTCAGCATACATTTGCTATGTGACCTCTGCAAAGAGACCACTCATCCAGGTTGGAAGGGGGCAGAGTGGGTCAAGGAAGGCTGTCCAGAAGGGGTGACCTTTAATTGAGCCCTCCACAATGAGCAGGAGCTGGGCTCTGGATGAGGCCAGGCAAAGGCACGTAGGAGGTCGGAGTTAATCCTGGGAGTGGACTCCACATGAAACTTATGCCATTTCTTCCCAATAGAGAAGACTTTGTGCTCACTTAAGAGTATTTAGGGTCTGACCAAATAGCTCAGCAGATTAAAGCGCCTGCTTAGGTAGATGTAGGGACTGAGGTTCAATCCCCAGTGTGCCATGCCAGCCCCAGCCCTGCCCCTGGAGTGATTGAGACTGGGCATGGTGGCACACACCTGTAATCCCAGCACTTGGGAGGCTGAAAACAGGAGGATCGCTGAGTCTGATCTGTGTAGTGAGACCCTGTGGACCCTGTACTAAATACATAGAAAAAAGAATATTTAGAAATGAGAGGAAGTAAAATGCAAATCAATAGGGTACAATTGAAAAATAGGATGAATGCTTAAGCTTTTAGTGTTACAGTAAAGCCACGATGACACGAGCCATCTTCAGAGCTCGGCATCTTGCCAGGACACTCTCATCCTGTGGTTCTTGCTGCGTGCCAAAGCAGTTCTGGCATCTTCTCCTCAGCGTCTTTCTGCAGTGTGATTTAAAAAAAAAAAAAAAAAAAGGCGGGGGTGGATTGTGGCTGCCCGGAGCCTTCCAGAGGAAGGGCCGCCTTCTCGGAACACGGCTGTCCTCACCTACCTTTTCGTAGATCCAGAACCGGGTGATCCCAGCCTCTTGCCCAGCATCAACATGACCACAAGGGTCAACGTTCTGGTTTGATTCAGGACCTGGTGGCAGCTACCACAGTGCCACCAAAGACCCACACTCCCTCAGCTTGCAAGCTTGGGACGGACAACCTTCTGGATAAATCGTCACCCAAATTTTACAATTCTTCCTGTACTGTCATGTCCCTGGAATGAGAACAACAGCTCGATGGACATACATTTCAAGGCTTTGAAACATATTATCAACCTTTTCCCCAACGTCCCCCAACCGCATAGAAGAGCACATGTCCTGCCTGCCGTGCCTGGGTCCTCTTGCAGCATCTCAGTAACTCTTTGATACCTGGCAAGCAGGAATTAGAGTCTAATTATGAGATTATTTGGTATTTCTTTACTTATTGGCAAGACTGAAACTGTTTATTTTGCTTCCTGTTGGCTCTGACCACACGGGCTGGGTAATTTAATCTCTCCTAGTTCTGGAGGTCAGAAGCACAAAGTCAGCATTACTGGGTGACAATCTAGGTGTCTGGAGGTCGAGGTCCCTCCAGGGGGCGCTGTGGGAGAGAATCCTTTCTCCTCCAGCTTCTGCAGCTGCCTGCCCTCGCCCTCCAGCTGCAGTCTCTGCCCCTGTGACCACCCCGCCCCTGCCTCTGCAGCTCTGTCTCTCTCTCAGGCTGGAGAAATATTTGACAGCATGCATAAAATTTTCAAATACATTTAGGAAAGACGCTAGTGATTGCATTTCAGGCCCAGTTAGATAATTCAGCATGATCTCCTCCTCTCCACAGCCCTCCCTGCAGTCTTCTTTGCCTTATAAATTAAAATTCATAAGATCCTCCAAAGATCAAAATGTGGATCTCTTTTGGGAGGTCATTACTAATTTCACCTCAATAAATATATTACTTAAAATATTTCTTGGGTCAGTGACCTGACTACATGTGAATTCTCTTGCACACCTGCTGGAAAGGGTAACAGTTTTTACATATGTATGTGGTAGATGTTCTTCTGGTTTATTTTTCACTTTTAAGTCTTAAATTTCAACATATAGATTTTGAAGTAATGAAGTCTTTTTTGTTTTTTTCCTTTTGCTTTGATATTTTCCCAGCTGATCTTTCGCCTAGAAATTTCTTTGCCATGTAGGGATTCTGCGCATTTTCATCCGTATTCATTTGTGGATTGTTTATAGTGTGTGTCTTTACATTTGATTCTAAAAGCTTAGTTGAGTGATGTCAGAATATGGGGTAACTTCAACACTGAAATCTGCTTTTTTTCCTACCTCCTTTTTCCCAGCCATTCATTAGGCCAAACAACCTTCCTGCTCATTTTTAAAGCTGGCTTAACCCCACAGGAAGTTAATATAGACATATTGGGCCATGCGCTTTGCCCGTGGTCTTTCCATTCTTGTGCCTACACTGCGCTATGGTTTGTGATTTTGTTCTGTGTTCAGTACTGACCTTGTGTGTCTTCACCTTCAGAGCTGGGCCAGAAACTTTCCCTTGTTTATTTCTCCTGGGGAAACTAGGACCATCTCCCATCACAAACCAAACTGTCCTTGAACATTTGATTGTAGTTGTGTTAAAGTGGTACTTGGGTTTGAACGCAGTGGAGATTGTTTTTGTGAGGCTTATGCCTGCTATGTCCTGTCTCCCTCTTCGTTTAGGTCTTCTTTTGTATCTCAGTTGATTTTGTTGCTGCTGCTGTATCTTTCTTTTGTTTTATGTATTTAGTAGAGGGTCTGTAGGGTCTCACAACATAGCTCCTACTTGTAGTGACCTTCCTGTTTTCAGCCTCCCAAGCACTGGGATTACAGGCACCGCCACCATGCCCAGTCTCAGTCGCCTTCTCAGTGGGCCCTGCGGGCAGAGCCAGCATGGCCTGTGGTGCTGGGGATCGAATCTTGTTATATTTCTTGTGGGGGGGAGGGGTATTTGGAATTGAACCCAGGGCCTGACACATGCTAGGCAAGCATGCACCCAGCCCTGTCACTGTATTTTTGATTAAGAAAATAGAAACTGTTGCTTTCTCCTTAATTCCTGAGATAGCCTCCACTTTGCTGCTGCTATTGGAATTTATTTTCTTTATTATATTTCTAACTGGCCTTTCACAAACTATTGCAAAACCACTGACTGGTATCTATTAGCCTAGAACTCTCTTTGGCTTTGTATCAGTTTTTGTGTGTTTATGTGTCTACTTACCCAGACAGTTCATGGGAGTGATTGCTAAGAGCATCTTCAAAGAGTGGTCTTTTGCTCTTCCTGGCTCACACTGCTGCTCTGACTCACTTTGCTGACATTCCTGCCCTGTGCATGTTCTGTTACCCACACCTAGGGTGAGGATGACAGTGAGAAGCAAAGCGACTGTTTTCCTGACCTTCTAGAAATACCTGCCGGGGTCCGTTCCTAAGATGATGCCAGCTACCCCCCATCCCTGGCACAGAACACCCAACACCCACAACTTCAAGGAGGAGAGGATTATTCAGGGTCACGGCTTCAGGAACAACATGGGACAGGGGCACAGGAAAGGAAGGAGAGGGACAGGGAGGAGCCGCAGACAGATGTAACCCCTTGGGGCCGTGCCCTCAGCCAGCCAGCTCCAGCCTGGCACGGCCTCCTCATGGGACGCCAGTGTCCATGCCCCATGCCTCAGTCCCCTTGCAAACACAGGAGGGCTCAGGGGACGATACTGACCTAAACTGGAGCAGATGATGATTTTTACGTAGAAAGTCACATTATTTATCTTGATAAGAAATTATCTGTCTCCTCTTAGTTCTTGCAGACCATCAGCAAGGAATAAAACATCTTCTGATGTTTAGTAGACTCCCAGTGCCTTTTAGCTGTCTGACCGCTGGTCCCTGGTGTGTGGTGAGCTTCGTGCCTTCTCATCCTCCTGGGTGCATCTTTCTGGTCACTGTGGATTCTTCTTTTAGATGTTATCATATTTGGCTCCTCAGTGCCCTGTGTAGAACTCCTGTGCCTCGTGCATAGATGAGCTCTCCAGAGGTTTGATGTTTCATTC